TGTCCAGGCTTTATTCGGTTTAACGCTGCTAAAGTCGACCTAAACCCGTAGTGTAGACCAGGCGTGGGTTTCCCTGTGCTGTCTCTTCTCTGGGTGTGGAGAACATCCCCACAAATGCACTCTGATCTAGCACCGGACATGTCCTTGCACAAACCCCCCCATGTCTCCTTCCTCCAGCCCCCGCCGACCGCTGTTCAGGAAGCAGCGCACTAGGTCGGGGGCACTCGGTGGGGTCCGTCATGGAGGGGTTACAGATAACAAGAGGAACATGGGCCCAGCTCCACAAAGGTGTTCAGGTGCCTCTCTGCCTCATCAGGCACCTAATTCTGCCACTGGGCATCACTGACATTGTCAAAGCTGCCGCCTAACCCCGTAGGCTCCTATGTCCCCGCAGCACCTATGTTTCCACTGGTTGACATTCACAAATCCACCTAGAGGCTGATGCTGCCCCACAGCTACAGAGCCACTCTGTGCCTCCGCTCCAGCCAGCACCCCAGAAGTCAGATTCTCAAATGAGGCTGGGGAATCCTTGCTCCCCAGCCACGCCTGATCCTGTAGGGGTGCTCTGAGCACCCCTAACATCTGTTAGGTGACCGACAGGCCCTGTGGCAGGAGGTCCAGAGGTGGAGGGAGTCGGGGCAGTACAGCTCCCGCACAGAAGACAGCTGGGGGCACAGGGAAACATAGGGCGAGCGTGAGAGATGGACCAGGTGTGACCCGGAGACTGCAGAGAGAGAGACAGTTTAGGTTGCTCCAGCCTGGGCTATCTGAGCGTCTGACCTGGCTCTGGTGCCTGATGCCAGCAGAAGATTTGCAGCTGAGGATCCCAAATGGAGGGAGCGCCCTGAGCCACATGGGTAATTAGGCCACTAACCCCAGACCTAGGTGCTAATTCCCAGTTTTATGCTCCTCTGTGACCCACAGACCTCCCATAGAACCCTGTAGGAGCTGAAACTCACTCCACCCCCAAGTATGCAGAGTGACAGTTCCCTCAGCATCTACATGCCTCTGGGCAAGCATACGGCTACCTCACTGTGGGCATCCAGACCCCTATGTGCCCTGCCCCAGCCCCAGAGTGATCCATGGAGAAAGGCAGGTGTTCAGCTGCCTATGATCCAGTGGGTGGGTGCTGACCACACCTACCAGATCAGGTCCCATCCAAAATCTGGCTGTGGGACTACCTCTCTTATAACTTTTAGCCCAGTGGTTAGAAGCCCCACATCAGAATATCCCATAGGCCAGGGCACTCAGCTAAGACTTAAGAAACTCCCATTCAAATTCTCTTTTCCCCAACATGGCAGAGGGGGGAACTGAACCTGGATCTCCCACACAAGTGGTGTCACCACCATCTCGTCCAGCCATTTGCATGGAGCAAGACAGGTGCCTAACGCATTCTTGCAATAACTGGCACCACCTGACTCTAGGCAGAGGCTCCTGGACATGGCTCACAAGCAGAGCTGGGCGCCTCCCTGCAGCCTGTACTTAGGCATCTAACTTTCAGTGAAAGGGGTGGCACTATCTAGTGCGCTGGGTTTTTGGCTCACGTTC